ACAATCCGATTCCATGTTGACGATCTAATGTCAAGCCACAGAATGAAGTTGGTGAATAACCAAACTTTGGAATGGTTCAACGCTAGGTATGGAACCTATGGAGCCGTGAAGGCAACCCGTGGTCCCAAGCATGACTACTTGGGGATGACGGTGGACTTTTCCGACCCAGGAAAGGTTGTGATTGACATGATAGATTATCAAGAAAATGGTCTCAGAGTTTCCAGTGGACTTTGGGGCAATGAAAAAGGTACCAAGTGCAGCTCCTGCTGACCTATTCAGCTCTGGTGATGGCACCATCCTGAATGACAAGAACAGAGAAACCTATCATACCTTTGCAGCCAAGCTGTTGTTCCTGTGCAAGCGTGCTCGACAGATGTGCAGACTCTCACTACTGTGTTATGCACTCGTGTCAGAAGCCCACATCTGATGATTGGGACAAGTTGGTCCAAGGCCTCAAGTTTTTGGATCAGACGGCGCAGGACAAGTTGATCCTACACATTGATGACATACGCATCATCATTGGTGGGTGGATGCATCATTTGCAGTCCATCCTGATTACCGTTCCCACACAGGAGGAGTCATGTCCTTTGGAAGTGGCGCGGTGCTGTCTGTGTCTGCGAAACAGAAATTGAATTCGAGGAGCAGCACGGAAGCGGAATTGATTGGAGCTGACGATGTCATGTCGCCCATGTTGTGGGCAAAGTTGTTCCTTGAAGAGCAGGGGATCGTTGTGAAGGACAACATCCTCATGCAGGACAACAAAAGCACGATCATTCTTGCAGAGAATGGCAAAGGCAGTTCGGGCAAAAAACTCGGGCTATCAACATTCGTTTCTTTTTATTCATGACCAGATTGGAAAAGGCAACCTTAGAGTTGTGTACTGCCCAACCTTGGAGATGCGTGGAGATTTTTTCACGAAGCCCCTTCAGGGCAAGCTCTTCCACGAGCACAGGGCTTTCATCATGGGTCATCCACCCCTTGTTTGATTGCCTAATTTATTTTATTCGTTCCACGGTAGCCACTTAGGGCACCGTGCAGGAGTGTGTTGGAGGAAACATACCTGACACCTCTTTACTATTAACTCGTGTATTAATCATCTAGTCCGGTTCGCATGTAAATTCATCATGCAAGGAACCAAGGGAGTTTTAGGTCTAAAGTGTTACGGGGGTCCTTATATCCAATTCAATCACAAGAATTGCTATGCACCACCAGAAAATCCTCACTTTTGCTTTTCAGCTTAATCTAAAACCAAATTACTCCCCAATAAGCTGCAGTATTACTAGCAAATAACAGCACTGTACGGCTCCAACATGCTACCGCCAACGGCGGCACAGTTTACCAGACTTGGAACATAAGGTATATACACCCATACAAGGCCTGATCCCCTTGTAGGATTGCCATCGTGCGACGCACATGTCTACATCCAAATCTCATGAGAGTGCCCCGCACTTTAAATCATATGTTCTCCTTGTCCGACTGCTGTCGCGCCTTCTGTGACCCTTGTCAGGGGGCGAATGCAATACACGGCTCTTAGCCTTATTCGCGACTCGATCCTAGATAGGGTTTGAGTTCGACTCATGACTGAGTCTCTCGTGAATAGTCATTTGAGACAGGGTTCTCAATGACCGCGCTAGTCATACTAGGTTGATGATGAAACATCGCTCTAGATATTTAGCCAGCGTGGAGTACTTCCACGCTACTAGATCCATGCTAGACAAATCTTCCACGCGTTCCGTTTTAGGATCGTGGAGAGACGTAGGATTACTACCGCAACCTACTCTATCACACTTTATAGTCTCCCGCGGGAAGCCAGATCTACGATCCCTTAATGATGATCTCTCTCGTTGATTAGTTTTCATAGCTTTCTAATCTCTCTCATAACTTTCATTCTCTCAAACTCAAAACACTCGAAAGATCTTTACACTAGCTTTTAGCGTAGTGCAATCTGCTCTGTAGCAGTCCTTGCGGCGACGTATTTGGAACCGAATGTGGCGGTCTCCACGTTAGACTGTAATTTTGTGTACCAGTCAATAGAAGTTTTGTTTGCAAGGTGCAGGACGCCGGTGACGGAACGTCCGCTAATCAGATCATGATAAAGGTTCACGTCCACGTAGGCAGTGAGTGATACTCGCTTGCCGCGTGGTTGTGGTGCATTGTCAGGGATCAATTCCTTGGCACCGTGGTAGCACGAGTATTCCCAGTCGTGCTTCTTCTCGGGTACATCCGAATAGTTAGGTTCTTCCTTCCTGATGTGTATAATGTCATGGCGCATCTTTGAGAGATATCCACAGATTCGTTTGACTCTGTCGAGGTGTCCTTGCCGTGGTGCGGCGCGGAATCGTGACAGTGTCATCACGGCAGTTCCGATGTCAAAGCGTCCAATCTGGATCGCCCATTGTAGGCTGCCGATGAGCGACTGGTAGATTTTCTGGTTCTCAATGTCCAGTAGCTCTGACGTATCGATCTCTGGGTGGTCACCTTTGACCAGTGGTGACGAAGCCTGACGTGGCATTTGTCCGAAGATTCGTTGGTAGTTCCCGAGAACTTTCTTGATGTACTTTCGGGGTGCATAGCTCAGCACTCTATCATCATCACGAAAGAAGTCACATCCAAGGTGGAATTCAATAGGGCCTGTTCCCTTGAGTTTGAATTTGTGTGTCTTCTCCAGGATAGTGATGATGGCTTGTGATGTCTTGCTAACGATCAACAGGTCATCGACGTACGCAGCAATGTACTCGTAGTGATCTCCTTTGTCTCGCATCCAGATGTCGGGTTCGGCCTTGGACGGGAAGAATCCCACCCTTGGAACGTAGGACGTCTGCGAAGCGTTCATGCCATCGTAATCCGGATGACTTGAGTCCGTACAGTGCTCGCGAGATGATCAGCGTGCATCCTTCGCGATTGCCAAATTCGGGTCCTGCGATCACGTACACTTTCTCCTTCGTGTATGAGTCAATATAAGCGTTTCCGACATCGGTTGCCCATACTTCGCATCCATTCAGTTCCACTAGGAATGTAAGGAGTCTAATCCCTCGTAACGATACCACGCTGGAGTAGACAGAGTCGACAGGTGTGTCCGTGAGATGTCCTCCAGCGATGAGCCGTGCCTTGTGGCGTCCATCGTGCTTGACGTCTCCTAATTATTAGGAGACGTCTCCTATAAGAGACTTAGTTACCGCGTAGTTAACACGTGTATGTCTCTTATTGCTTAGGAGATGTCTCTTATTGCTTAGGAGATGTCTTCTATTTTAGGAGATGTCTCCTATTTCGAAACCATGTCTCTTAATTCTCTTAAGTTCGTCCCATCTTCCACATGCTCCCAAATATCGATCCCATCTGATAAAGAGGCATCACATCATTGTGGAATTTCATTCGGATGCCATTCGGACGCCATTGAACGTTACTCGGAATGTCAAAAGTCAATCTTACGTGTCAATGAGAGGAGAGGATGACATTTCACGGAACGAGAGGAAGGTGTCAACAGCAACAACCTGTTGACTGATCGTGCACACATGAACAAAAAGGGATGCCCTTGGTGGGATGCGATTTTCTTTGGATGCAATGACTAAATAGAGAACTCAAAAGACTTTCTGTGACTGGAGAGCCGGCCATCTAGTTTAAAACTAAGCCTCACATTTTGACCTCACATTTTTGAAATCCCATGAAAATCAGCGATTTCAGTCAATCCAATCGTCTGTGCAAGCTCTGTGAGATGAGGAAGTCATCAATCCAGCAAAAACGTTTCGTCAGTCTACAGGTAATACCTACGAGCAGCTTCGATTTTTCTGATTCAAACGCGTGCCAGCTTTTCTGGTACACTTCTACGAGTGATCGTGTAGAAATGTACGAAGAAGCTCGGCTCGCGTTTGAATCAATAGAAACGAAGCTGCCTGTATGTGCATAGACTGACGAAACATTTTTGCCCATTTGGAGCTTCCACTTTCTCATAAACGTTGTACAAGATTAGATTCCGGACTGAAGCATCGGTACGGTACGCCACACCACACAAGCGAAGATGTTTCCTAGTGTTTGGTTGGTGATTCCTTTGTTGGTGCCCATTTTCCTGTACTATGCACAAGTTGTGCAAAGTCCTCGACTTGGTGAATTTTGTACAAAGTGATGGAGGACTTGGTGAGTTTACTCCGAGCATGCAATAGATGACTGACTACATAGATAGAGCAACAGATTATGTAGAAAAAGCTATGAATTGGCAACCAAATAGACCATTACAAACTTAGCTTCTAGACCTTGACCTTGGTTCCCAATCTGCCTGCAACCGAGAGAGGTTTGGAGGTTGCCAGCCAAGATGGACTTTTCCTTGCAGAATCCATTACGAACCTCCATTGTGCCTCTTAGATGTTAGGTGGAATGGTTCAATCGTTCTTTGTGAAAGCTCTGCTATAGCTAACGTCACAGAAGGGCTACGCATGATGTTACAAGGGCAGCTCAGGCAGGAGGATTGGACCCGCACAGGAAACCAGATGCAAACACAACACAAGAAGTGCTAACGAGATCATTGGTTTCACAGCTCCCCAAAGAATTATGCAGCAGTTTGGCTCCAGCATCATCTTGGTGGCAGCGTTGAACATGGTGCAAGCACCAAGGATCTCTTGCTTGCGAGGCAGGCATTTATTGGTTCTGGCAAGTGGTTGATTACTTTGCAAAGGGAATGGCAAGTTCTTTGATTGGGCTCAACCTGCGCCCGTGCCCCCAATGAGGTCGGTAGGAACTACTAGCTAGCCAGCGAGTTCTCGTGCTGGGAGCCGGGAGCTTCTGTGCTACTACTAACAGAAGCCTAATAGAATTGTAGCAGTCGCCGAGCTCTGTTCTTTGTGAGGCTTCTAACGGTGGTACAGTGGCCGTTACCAGGTACCACCTTGGATCCTTCCTTCATTGTACATGTAAATTGAAGCGTGCCAGGAGCTCGCTTCAAAACCGGCCTTCGCCAGTTCCGGTTAGCCAGTCAGCGTTCTGATGACCAAAATGACTATTCGAACTCTAATTACTAAAATCCTCATTAAATCTTCATTGGCAGGCAGCGAACCGGCACCACCAACAGCCGCAGCTCCACCCATCTCATTCATTGATCATCCGCACCGAACAACAAGCAAGCCTTTGTGGGAAGCAGAAAGAAACGTGCATCGACGTCGTGTTGTAGTCATCTCCTTCCTCTCGTTACAGTAGTCTGCTTGACAGAATAGAAAGTGAAACAAAGAGGCGTATTGATCTAGCTACCCACTCGAGGTCTCGTTGGAGCGTTACTGTTACTACCATTGGAAGGCCGACAGAGTTGAAATTTGAGTGCGCTGTCAGTTAGGTTTTGAAGTATTACCCCCCAAACCGGTACAATCATTTTACTGTTCCATGGCATGGATGGATGACCGAATGAACCCCAGCAACTTTTTGGAACATCACATTGCTTGAGAGAGAGCCAACGCCACGCCATTCTGCCTACCCATAAACTACACTGTAGTAGGTATCTACCCATCCCTCCATTATCCATCTACGGTACCCCCACAAACACAACACACTACACTACCATGACAATGATGAGAATACGACGGCCCCTGGTCTTCCTTTGGGGTAGTGTCATCCACGTCTTTTGGATCTTTCAAGTCCACGGGGGTCAAGTGCACTTGGACTGCGATCCTTGTATCAATCGATCCAAACTGGAGATTCATGCCGTGGTACATGGGACCATGGATGATCCCTTTTGGCAACAATCCGTCCAAGCCATGCGACAGGCCGCGGTGGACATGGGCGTGACGAATTTCAATGTCGAACTGTACGAGTTTTACTCGAGCGAGGAAATGGCCAGAGAGATTCGATCCCTCATCAAATGGGAATGGTGTGATGGATGCGCTCATGGACATACCCATATTTCCAAACAAATCGATGCACTCATTGTGACAATACCTGATCCAGTGGTAGAAGCAGCTGTCAAGGATGCCATCCATGCTGGAATTCATGTCTTTGGTATGAATGTTGGTAGCGATATCGTTCAGGAATTGCCTGGTATTTTGGCGTATGTCGCCCAGAACGAATACTATGCCGGCATCGTGGCGGGACGCGAATTCTTGCACCGACGACTGGATCGATTCGGACCACCCAGTCGAGCACTCTTTGTCAACCACAATCCTCAAGATGTCGCATTGGAGCAACGATTCCAAGGATTCAACCACAGCGTGACGTTGGCGGGGGTCACACAAGTCGATCAAATCGTGGTAGATCCCAATGACTTGTACGCGACAGTCCTAGACATTCACAACGTCATGGATGGTTGTCGATACGATTTTGTCTTGTTGGGAGGATCTGAAAGTGTACCCGCTGTCACGGCGGCACACGATCATCATTTCTGTGACACGTACTTGCAACATCAACAAGTGGTACAAGAAAGCATCATTAGCACACATCCGAATAAGACAAATACGCCGCCATTATCAATCTTGGAGTCGTCAACATCGTCAACAACAAGTGGAACAACATTTCTACCCATGATGATTGGAGCATTCGATGAAACAGCCGAGGTATTGGATGCCATTGTGGAAGGAACCATTACCTTTACTCTGACACAACAAAACTACTTGCAGAGTGCACTACCGGTCGTACTGGCTACAATCCACGCCACCACGGGTAAAACCATTGTCCCTCCCGTACAGGATCCCGTCTATTTGGCAGGACCCAAAGTCGTGGACATTTCCAACTATCCATCCGATACCTATTTGGCATGCACGGCAGAAGCCTTTCCGATATGTGCCCATGATGAAAGCTTTGTGGACGAAAGTGCCTGCCCCTGCACCGACCGAAGTAGATTGCGGATTGCCGGGGTCGTACATGGTGTCGTGGGGGATGACTTTTGGGATGATGTCTTTGCTGCCGCACAGCAAGCCGCCTTGGATATCGACGTTGATTTGGACTTTGAACGGTTCCACAAACAAGACGGCAAACTGCATCACAGAATGGCAAACAAGATCAAATCGTTATGCGGATCGGGCATTGACGGGATCTTTGTGTCCATGCCATCCGACGTTTTGATAGACGCGGTTCGATTTTGCAAACAGCTACGGATTCCTGTCATCAACATCAATTCTGGATACCAATTTGCAGCAGAATTACAAGTCCAACATATTGGTCAGTTGGAATACACTGCCGGACTCAAGGCGGGGACTCGAATGGTCCAGGCGGATGTCAGGGAAGGATATTGCATCGTCCCTGAACCCGACAATGTCGCCCTGGCTGAACGGTGTGACGGCTTCAAGACCGAACTGGAGAATTCCAATCGAACGTACGGAGGCATGGTAGTCGTTCCGTTGGACAGGAGTGCGGAGTACCAAAAAATTGTGGAAGATGCCGTCGGCGATCCTTCTGGCAGTTGGGATGGCATTGCTTTGATGATCACTGGCGAAATTGTACCAGCGCTCGAGCTGCAACTGAGTCACCAGAGTGTGGCCCTAGGGACCTTTGATATCTTGCCGAAAATGTTTGATCCGCTGGATGACGGCCGCATATTGTTTGCCATTGATCAACAGCAGTACTTGCAGGGAAGTATCCCTGTTTATCTCCTGGCATATGCCGCGTATACACAACAAAAACTGATCAATATGGCAGTCGAGACGGGGCCTGTGTTGGTGGAATATTCTCCGTCTCAGTCTGCGCGAACTTGCGAAGAACTCAGCTTTGGCGTATGCAGCAAAATACCTGTGGAGAATTATAATTTCATTGGATCCAAGTTCAAGGCAGGGGGGTATGCTGCTGTGGGAATTGTGTGCTTCATGGGTCTTGTTTCGGTGGTATGGATGCACTGCTACCGCGAGAAAAACATAGTCAGGGCAAGCCAACCCATGTTCCTCGGTTTGCTGGTACTCGGTACAATCATATCGATTCTTACGATCTTGCCGCTCTCTGTAGAGACCGGGTACCGATATGTGAAAGATCCATTTACTGGTGAATTGACGGACGAACCAAACCCCGACGTCCACCTTGTTGATGTGGCGTGCATGATATCGCCGTGGCTGTATGGTTTGGGCTTTGTGATCACCTTCTCGGCGCTCTGCGCTAAAATTGTTCGAGTCAAAATGATATATTCTGCGGGGGCGGCTATGCGACGGAAGAAGGTGGAACTGATGGATGTGCTTATTATTATGGTCGTGATGCTCGCGCTGGAGGTCACAATCCTTCTATGCTGGACGCTTCTTTCTCCAAGTATTTGGCAGAGGACAGTAATCAGCACCGAGGATGGATATGTCACCGAGTCTTTCGGAAGCTGCACTTCAGAACACGCCATGACATTTTCAATGACGCAGGCCTCATTTCAAGCCTTTTGCTTGTTTGTCGTCTTGGTCCTTTGTTGGCAGACGAGTGAAATTCCAACAGAGTTCGCGGAAGGCACCTACATATCGTTGGCAATCCTTTGCATCTTTCAAGTGTCCTTACTGACCATACCGCTTCGCTGGATGGTCTATGAGGACCCAGACGTTTCCTACTTTGTCGAATGCGCTGCTCTCTTCCTGGGCAGCTTCACTACTCAAATTCTTATTTTTCTTCCCAAGATGTGGAGAGTCTATACTGGAGACGACCAACTTCCTCTACCACGAGTTGGAGGGCGGGGAAGTAGCCATCCAACAAACTTTAGCGACAACAGAACCCAGCAATACAATCCCGTTACCGGCGCAATCACCCACGCCGGAGTCGGGTAAGTGCAAGTCGTGCACTTTTGGCCACTTTTGTGCCGCCTTCCTCACGTTTCCCCTTGCAGAAACCAGAATGCCAAGCACGCTCCGGCTCCACCTTCTCGCACTTCCAACAACCAGGCTTCTGCCTATCAGCAAGGCGTTACAACTTCAGATAGAGCACCTCCTCCAGTGGACAGGATGGCACCGCTAGACTCAGATTCGGACGATGAAGATGAAGGACGACAAGCAAATGGGGCAGCTGCAGTGACTGTTGCGGCAGCTCTGTCACGTTTAAAAGCCGGCCTGTCGTCGTCGTCATCTGACGAGGACGAGCCTATTCGACAGTCAGGGCCACTCTTGGCCAGTGCCGATGATGAACTTGCAAGCCTCGCAGCCGAAATATCGAGAGCAGCAACGTGTAGATCTGACACGTTTGCAGCCGTAGGTGAACCTGCACCTGATACAGCAAAGGATGCATCCAAGTCCAAGCGTGCAGGCGACGGATCAGCCAAATCCATGCCAGCAGAACGTGCCGTTGGCGGCTCCAATTCTAGGAGAGATGGTCCGCCTAGGCGGCCGTTCAAACGGCAAGATTCTCCTGATGTCGACAGCAGTGTTTCCAGTACCAACGAAGAAGGCGATGCAATCAATGCCCCCCCTGTACCCGTAGTGAATGGTCGCGGCCACATGGTCGAAGATCAAGATGATGCGTATCACAACCCTCAAGAGGGCTCCACTCACGAGGATGGACGAGAAGTTCTGGCTGGAAGCGGCAACCTTCAAAGCGCTACGTTACCAGAACAAATCGGTGCCAGTAATCTTGATCACGAATCATCCCTGGAAGGCAGCAGCCAACAGGTAGAATTGGAATCCACGAGTACCACGGCTTCGAAAGCTGCTGCAGCTCGAGCTGCTATCTTTCGCAAGCCAGCTGATTCTCCCAGCACTCCGATTAGGCTGAAGAAAGACCCACGAGCCTACGGGGATAACGCAGCCCTTGCTTTGGGCATCACAAAGGCAAGAGGTAGCTTTCTCCGCAAGGTGGCAGCTTCTTTTGGCACTGCCTCGTCCGTAGGTTCATCCGCACCATTATCGCCAGGTAGCCGAGCCAGTCTCTTGAATACAACCATCGAGGAAGACTCTGCTGCTGGAAAGGGGGTTGGTGGTAGCCAAAGATCATCGGTCAGCAAACTCAGTACTGATTTCAGTGTGGACCGACAGAATAGGCCACAGTATGACGCTTTGAAGCAAAGTGCCAGCAAGGATAATGGTGCTGCAGCAGGGTTGGAGAATGCTGGCACCAATATGCAGCTGAAATCGATGCATGGAGAAGTTTTGTACTTCATGTAACCTTGGGGGAATTTTTGTGTATTGTTAGAATACTGGAGAGTGATACTACTGTAGCTAGCCAGAAGAAAGTCGCCCCTGTTGAAGCTTCGATCTCCCGGCAATCGGTGTGGCTTGGATATTGAGGTTGTGCATTTGTGTGATCTGCATATCGGCAATCAATACCGAAGAAGCCCAACCAAGGCTGCTCAGATCCACAACCAACCCAAGGATCTTTTGTTCTCGCAAGTCAACAAAGCCAAAAGCTTCAAACCGAACAGCACTCTGCGCCCAACAAAGAAAGTGGCTGTTTCCTTCGTTCTCGCACTGAGGACGACTCTGTCGTTTATGATGCTGCCATCGTTCCGGAAGAACCGAATGTTGTGGCTAGGGCCATAGATTATACCCATGCCGATAATGACCGAAAGCTGTCTCTTTCACTCATTACGTACGGTACCTGGTAGTGCTACCATTATCAGGACAACACGATGATGCATCATGCATTGGGAACACAACGAGGAGCCCAGTACCCGAACGATGACATGGTGCCGTGACAGCCAACACCACGAACGATCCCACCACATCTTCCTCTCACGAACGAAACTCCATCTCCGAGCGAAGGTAGGCCACCGCAAATGGTTCGAAGCTTCATTTCCCTCCATTTCTACTCGAATGAGAATTGTTTTTCAAGAGTACATGGAATTGGATCACAAGCCTTCTTCCCAACAGCACGGGGCAGAGGAAGAACACGATAGTGCCTCTCCCGGGGAGGACCACTACTCTACTCATACCGTACCATCATGTGCCCCGATTTTTCGAGGGAACGCTTGGGAACGCTTGGAAGCTCGTTCGCGGCTGGCCGTTGGTGGACGAGGGAATTGCAGCATTGACGAACGCTCTCATCAGCGGTAGGACAAGTAGTCTGAGAGCTCGAGATCTCATTTTGCGCAAAATGAGCGCGAACAGTAATGTTGCTCGAAGCCACGAACACAATTTGCAGCAATCTGATCATGGCGTAGTTGCCTGTCGTCTCTAGAGATAGCATTCCGCCTCTGTGATATCTAGCCCTGCACACGGCACTTTAAACTCTGCAAATCTTCAGAGACTCGAGCCGGTAGGAGAGACCTCGATTGAGGCTGCTAGAACAGGTCGTTGTGCGAATATGCCGCTCCCACAACAGAATGTCGCAAGTGGATGTGAAGCAACGACATGAAACTAGCATTTAATCCTATCATCTGCGCTCGCCTTGAGACAACCATACTTGCAGAGTTCGAGAGAGAGCGCCAATTCCGCGCTGTTACATCTCTTTTGTCATCATACATTTACCACAAATCAGCAGCAACCCACGATCGCCACAAGCTCGTCCTGTTTTCCACTGCTCCCTCGTCTTCAATCCAATTCCAATGCCAATGCCATCCTCCATCGAAACAAATAAACGCAAACAGAAAGCCCATTCAAAATCCTCCATTGCTTTCCACACACTGCCAAAACCCACCAGCCGCTACCTTCATCGAACCTCGAGCACCACCACGTCTTTTGCATGGCTAAATATCAACCTTGAATCCAAACCCAGAATTGTAGCTGTCAAGATTCTGACATTGACATTCATCCACGCTGACTTGATAAAGAGTATGCAAACGCCCAATGCAGTATTTAGAATCTTGCATAGAAACAAGCCTCAGCGTTTCAGTATCGTAGGACCACTGGTAGAAGGGCTTCCAATCAGAACTGGCGCCACTGGGGGCAACAAAAAGATCCCGCTCAGGAATGAAGAAGAGGGATCCTCCAGTTTGGTCTCCACGGAGTACATACATCTCATCCGCGTCTTGATCCCATTGCAAGATTCGTCCATCACTTGTGAAGATAAACATGTAATCATATTGATTGCTGCACTCAGCACCCGGATAGACCGTTCGATGTGTTGCACTATTCCGCCTCCAACACTGTGTGTTTTCACCTGAAGATCCCAAGGTGACAATAAGACCTGGCTCATCACCACTGTCAAAAACAACTGGCAATGTTGGTGGGCCAAACATGAACTCATCTGGAGGAGTCAAATGGAAATGCTTGGGGCATGGCATATTTTCGATCTTGTCAGATCGATATTTGACACACTTTTTTGCACCATTGAGTCTGTCGCTGACAAGAGCCGTGTTACTGGGTCATAGTCCCATTGTTGGAGGTGCAGAGCAGAGTCTGTTTCGCCCTTGCAAGTTTGGAAGTTTAGCTCTATAGCCAGCTAGGAAAACGGACAAGATGTAACCCAAGAGGGATTTGTCATGAAGACTTGCTAAATTGTCATTCCAGATGCCTCTTCTATAGCTTGATGATGCATGTGATTCCTTCAAGTAGGAGGCAGATCCACTCAGTCGTCTTGTTTGTCAAGTTTCTTTCGATACTTGCTTATCGATGGAGGAGCAGAAGTATTTCGCATCAGCCCCGCACCAGCCCCCTCCTTAGAAGACTTGGAACCATTCCGAGATTTGGATCTTGATCGTCGCCGACTGCTTCTACTTTGCTCTTTGTCGTCTTCGTCGTCGTCAGCAGAACCGTGCGATAGTGACCGGTTGGACCCGCTTCGTTTGAGTCCTGCAGACATCTTCTTCAGCCTTCTTTCCCGTTTGGCTTCCTGGCCCACTTCAAGGGCCAATGAAGGTGCCGACCCATTCCGCCTCAGGCCGCCGGAAGTCTTGGCTGGCCTACTTGAAGCGGATGAATCGCCGTCGTCGGCGATATTGATGACCAAGGACGGCGCAGACCTTCTCAGTATCTCTTTCATCCCATCAGACTTGGCGCGAGAACTAGTACTGGAGTTCGCTCTATTGAGGCGCGAGCCGGAAGAGCTGACTCTTTTCATGCTGGAGCTAGAGCTGACTCTTTTCATGCTGCTGGGGAGCGTATTCGAGGATCCACTCTTTCTCCTCATTTCTGCCAGAAGCGGAGCCGAGTCGCAGCGCTCCATTGTGCGTTTGCCGTATTTGGGGGTTTGATGAGCAATTTCAATGAGACTCAAAAGTGGAGCCGAATCGGTTCGTTTCATACCGTCTTTTCTCTTATTTTTCTTGCTGGTGCTGTCACGTCCAGTGCTGGGTTCTTGCGACATTTGGATGAGGCTCATTAGAGGGGTTGAATCAGATTGTCGTTTCGAGGGCTCGTCGTCACTCGAGTTGGAAGATGAAGACTGGTCGTTCATCGAGTCGCGCTGGGATACAACCTTTTCAAGAATCTTCAGATCGCGCTGGGATACAACCTTTTCAAGAACTTTCAGAGTGTCCATCTCTCTGTTTTTGCGATTCTTTGGCTTACGAGAACTGCCACCAATGATGCGACGAGCACCCCCCTTCTTGGTAAGCTCCACTTCTAGGCGTAGTTGCATCTCCTTGATCTCGCCAAAGAGATCACTGTCTCCCGAATTTTTAACGATGTCAACGATCTTGACAAGGCAGGTTACCACTGCATTTTTCTTTGCTTGCACTTCTTCGAGTACTTTGCCGGCGTTATCGACTTCCGGCACTGCTCTTTTCATGGCCCGTTCTCCAAGGTTCACCATGGCTTCCAGCTCGTTCATCTCAGTTTTCAGGTTCAGGATTCTCTCTGTGAATCCTTGAAGCTTGGTGATTTGGGTATCTTCGCTTGCTTTTAACAATTTGTTTGCTTGCATCAACTGGTGTATGTTCTCTTTGAGGTTTTGAGAAATTTGCCTTTCTTCCTTCACTTCATCCTTCAGTTCCTGGATCTGGATACAAAAGGTGTCCCAATCGAGCTTGTTGACGTCGGGTACAGGTGGTGACGACGACTTGCCGGATGCTTCGAGATTTGCCATGAACTCCTCGAGAGCGTGCTGTTTTTCAATGTGCAACATATTTTTGACCGTCTCGAGCTCTTCCTCCTTTCGTCTGAGCACATCGTTTTTCTCCTCTTGCCAATACAGTATTTCGTCTTTGTGATTCTCATGAACGGCCTTGCAGTATTTGAAGAATCGTTGAATGCAACGGGCCGCCTCCTGTTTCTTCGCATCTGCTACTTTTTGTTGACACTCCAAAAAAGACTGTTCAGTACCCTCGAGAGCGTCGATGCTCTCTTGGCAAGAACTGATGCGCTGTGCTCCCACCACGGCAAGAATACTCGACCTCAACATGACACGATACTTCTTTTTGCTCCTCGAACCGTCTTGGGCGGTGCTGCAGGTTGCGACACTCTGGTCGTCTTCTTCCAAGGCTGGAGCGTTGGAGTCACTGTCAGCGTTGATATCACCGTCGCTGCTGTAGTTGTTTACTGAGCTCATATCTCCCAAACTGCTCAAGTCATCATCAATACAGTCCCCCGCGGCCGAGTAAAACGTATTGTCATCATTGTCGCTATCATCGCTATCCCCCAGTCCACTACGGCAACTACCGTACAGAGACCCCAGACTGTGGTTGCTATCAGTTCTGAATTTTGACAATTTTCCTGGGCCCAGAGCTTCCTTTCGCAAGGAGGATACAGAGCCAACACGCTGCAGTCTGGATGCCGATCTGTTGGACCTTCTGCTGGGTCTGCTGTTGGAGGAATGGTCACTGAACTTCTCCAACAATCCTTGCAAATTCTGGCTCACCTTGCGGCCTTTGGTGTTCTTGCTGTTGGTGGTGGCACGGTCAGGACCAAAGCTTTCGGACAATTCCTTGACACGACTGTTGGGCTTGCTGGTTGGTTTCTTTGGGGATTTGCTCCGACAATCCAGTGTATTCCTTCGAGACTTGACAATGCCCGTACCTTCCAGTTTCCTTGCCGATTTTTTCTTCACCAGCCCCCTTCCTCTGCTTGATTCCTTCTTGTTGGAGTCCGTTTTGTCATCGACCAAGTCCATCATGCGGAGATCCACCAGGGACTTGGATCGCTTTTCTTTGGTGGAGTTTGCCCAGTTGTAGCTTGGCGCCTCCTCCATTTTGGGATCATCCCCGCTCTTTACGCTCCTTTTGCTTCCATTTTTGCGTGATTTGACAAGTCCCATGCCTTCCAGTTTCTTGACAGAATCCGTCTTTGCGAGACCTCGTCGACGACTCGTGCCATTGTCGTCATGAACAGTGTTGTCAATTAGCTCCATCATGCGAAGGCCTACAAGAGACTTGGATCCGTCTTTTTTGCTAGATTCTCTTTGTTTGTTGTTTGCAGGAGCTGCCTTGGTAAGAGCTGCATCATCGCCGTTTCGAAGCCCTTCCAAAAGGGTGGCACTCTTCACGCCGGCAAGAGATCGAGATCTCTGGGACAGCGACATTGACAACAGATGCTGTTCTCACTGAGATCACCAGATGCAGTTTTGGTTGCGATACTGTTACGGTCCTCGCTGAAGCTTCGAACCAACACCTTTGGCCATTGTCAGAGCACAGCCCTCTTCAAGGGCTCAAGGGCCATCAAACACAAAATATAATAAAATGAGACTTCGGAGAATTATTGAAGGGGTTTATGTTGGCACCAGGATTTTTGAGGGCCAGGCACGGAACACAGTGTCCTTGATGAGTGACGAGTCGAGTCGCAATACTGTAATGACATGGATATCGATGATTGCACCGTAGGTACCAGTACCGGTACAGGTTCTACCTAATAGCTAGGGCCAAGCACCGTCACCACTGGTTGAAAAAGGACATTCTAAACATGAAACACACTTGACCAAAAGCCCAATCAGAATGTCCGATGAGTCCCAGGAATCAGGAATGATCAATCGAAGAGTGAAATAATTGGGACGATGTACAGTCGTACTGGTTCCGAAGCTCTGCTCGGTTGATGACCGCTCTGCAAGCTAACAGGGTGCATGGATGATCCGTGGATGCTGGAGAAGGAGATATCACCTCAAATTATTGAAGAGATGGGAACGTCCATAATGATTGGAAAGGATTATCGGGAAATAAGGCAATTGATGTCAAATTGACATTTTGATGTCAATCAAGGAAGCAAGACTCAATTTTGATTAGTTTTGACATTTTTGATTTTTTGACAGTCAAAATGGTTCAACAGCCATCAACAACCTGTCAAAATCAAAATTGCCAAATTGACACAAATCAACAAAATTGACATCAATCAGCATCAATCAACACTGTCAATTCCTTTTTTGATTTTTTATGATATTTTTGACTCAACATTGATCAATGTTGATCAACGTTGACAATTTGACATTTTGATTGATAACAACAACACACATTACTGTCTGCATCAAAGGACCAACTACCGTTAAGGTACTGGTAAATGGTGATTGCAACAGTTGCACTAAGAGTGAATACATATCTAGGATCATACGAGCACCCTTACTGGCTGCGGCAACGAGCGGTTGTATAGTCGTAGAGGCTTGTTCTGTCGCTTGACTCGCTGTCGCTGGTCATGGTTTCATTCCCTCCGATAGATCGCTCTTGCAGTACCGGCAGCAGCTTGTTGTCGATTCATGGAAGAGGGGAATTATTGTAGTCTTTCTTCGGTTATTGTCGACAGCGAAGCAGTTGTAGTAACAGCAGCAGCGGTTGTAGCAGTCGTCGTCGTCGTCGTCGTCGTCGTCGTCGTCGTCGTCGTCGTCGTCGTCGTCGTCGTCGTCGTCGTCGTCGTCGTCGTCGTCGTCGTCGTCGTCGTCGTCGTCGTCGTCGTCGTCGTCGTCGTCGTCGTCGTCGTCGTCGTCGCAATGGCAGCTAGCAGCGGAAGATGTTGTTGTTGATGTCAAAAGATAGTTGTTGTCGTCCTTGCATTTCGTGACGTCCCAAGAACAGCTGGTTGGGTGGAAGCGTCGGATCCGTTGCTCGACTCGTCGTGGTCACGGCCGTCGACTGAAGATATTCCGAGCCAGCAGCAAGCGAGCTGCAGCTGTTTCCAGCCTACCGTATATCCAAACAAGAAGAGGAGCCTGGGGGGTTTAATTACTTATTTAGGTTAACAACATATTGGGTCCGGAGGACCTTTTTCTACGCTGGCAATAGTTGAGCCCAAGGGCCCAAATAGCCGAATCGTATACCCTTGATGAATTGCACGATAGGAAGATTCGCGGTGCACACCAAGCGTCAACACTGAAGGAGGATATGCCTCATAGAAGCACGGCTACACTATCCTATTGTCTCACCGCCGTTCACCTCTGCCCCATGAACGAGGGGCAGGTCCCTACAGATCTACTTACAATGGGAGTGTGCATCCTCCTGTCGTGATTTGGAGAATGGTGGCCTGGCCAGGATTTAACCTATTAGAAGGGCGCTGATCGACAACAGTCATCATCGATCCACCTCCACCACAGGTGCGTCTGAGTGATCAGGTCCCATGCTGTGGCCATTGCCTTGTCGTGCAAGGCAAGATGCCAGCAGAGTCCATAGGCGGTGGCGCACCTAAGACTGGACCATGTCAGGGTATGACCTATCCAGTGGGCAAACAATGTCAGGCAGAAGCCGACAAAGAGCCATGTGACAGGGCGAAGTGCGCACTGGCAGGCAGTGGCTCCCAAAGGGGAGGCACAGTATCTGCTGGGGCGGTGTGGACCGTGAGAGGGATTGTGGGGTGGATGTTGGAGGGGTGGTTGTGGGCTGTGGGTGGTATGGTGCTGGAGGGAGGAGGGTAGGATCTGTTTGCTGTGGGAGGCATGATGGTTGGTTGATGTGCAATACACGGCTCTTAGCCTTATTCGCGACTCGATCCTAGATAGGGTTTGAGTTCGACTCATGACTGAGTCTCTCGTGAATAGTCATTTGAGACAGGGTTCTCAATGACCGCGCTAGTCATACTAGGTTGATGATGAACATCGCTCTAGATATTTAGCCAGCGTGGAGTACTTCCACGCTACTAGATCAGGCTAGAAAACTTCCACGCGTTCCGTTTTGGATCGTGGAGAGTAGTGGATTCTACCGAACCTACTCTATCACACTTTATAGTCTCCCGTGGGAAGCCAGATCTACGATCCCTTGATGATGATCTCTCTCGTTGTTAGTTTTCATAGCTTTTAATCTCTCTCATAACTTTCATTCTCTCAAACCAAAACATCGAAAGATCTTTACACTAGCTTTTACGTAGTGCATTTTTACAACACTAGTTGTGTTACGACGCTCTTCCAGGCATGTTCACTCGATTCTCTGGAATTTATGTCCGA